GCAATTTTGTCTTCTTCTACTACGGCTGCGACCTCCGATCTGATGCGCTGGCTCCCGTGTATGATGAATTCATCTCTCACGGCCGTGCTATGCTTGGACATTCCAATCTTGAGTCGCGTCTTCGCCGCGCTGCTCAGGCTGCTAGCGAGTCCATTGGTCGTACTCGTGTTGCCCAACAGGCTCGCGGCTACTCTACCAAGGCTCGTCCGTTTCAGGGTGTCGGTCAACGACGAGGATATGTCACCACCACTAACCCCAATCCTCCCTTCGGAAAGAAGAACGCCTCCAACGACGTTCCCTCCCGCGTCGGGTTGATTGGCGCCCGTGGCTATACTGGTCAAGCACTTATTGACTTACTCAATACGCATCCTTACATGGACCTTCGGCACGTTTCTTCAAGAGAGCTTGCAGGCCAGGAGCTCCCGGGATACAGCAAGCGAAAGATTATCTATGAGCATCTCGGTCCTGAGGATATTGGACAGCTGGAGAAGAATGGAGAAATTGACTGCTGGGTCTTGGCTTTGCCTAATGGCGTCTGCAAACCCTACATCGAGGCTCTTGACGAGGCTCGCAAGGGTAGCAATCACCGTAGCGTCATTGTTGACCTTTCTGCCGATCACCGGTTTGACAGCAATTTTGTCTACGGGCTGCCAGAGCTTACTAAGCGCTCCGAAATCTACAAGGCCACCCGTATAGCCAACCCGGGCTGCTACGCTACCGCCGCTCAGCTTGGCATTGCTCCCATGCTGGATCATCTGGGTGGCCAGCCCACCATCTTTGGTGTGTCTGGCTTCTCAGGGGCAGGATCTCGGCCGTCTCCTAAGAACGATGTCGTCGCTTTGAAAGATAACCTCATGCCGTACAGTCTCACGGACCATGTACATGAGCGTGAGATAAGCAGCCAGCTCAATACCCAGGTTGCCTTTATGCCTCATGTTGCCTCTTGGTTCCGTGGCATTCACCACACTATCAACATCCCTCTCAACAAGACCATGACCTCTCGTGACATTCGCCAAATCTACCAGGACCGATACGCTGGTGAAAAACTCGTCAAGGTTGTCGGCGAGGCGCCGCTCGTCAAGAACGTCATGAATAAGCACGGCGTGGAAATTGGTGCATTTGCCGTTCACAGCAGTGGTAAAAGGGTGGTCGTATGTGCCAGCATCGACAACTTGCTCAAAGGTGCTGCTACGCAGTGTTTACGTATGTTTGACCCCCTAATCTTGTCAAATGAAGTCTTGTGCTAATATTGGCCATGCAGAAAACATGAACCTTGCGTTGGGGTATGCCGAATTTGAGGGCATCCCTACCATGTAAATGGCCAAGGTCAGTGGTGAAGGAGTTGACAAGGTGCTGGGGGGCTTTCTTATAGTGCCGGTCTCTCAGCCGTTGGGTCGCAGCCTCTGTTTCGTGCTTTACGTTTTAAGAGGTCGGAAAACGGTCATGTATGGCGTACCGAATGGCCTTGAGCTGTTCACTAGGAGTATTATTGTTTTGGACATGCGCCATCTTTTATTGCATCCATGGTGATATTGAGTAGTGAGCGTACAGTGTGGCAGAGAAGGGAAAAAACATCGATGCCATCGCCATTACCTCTGCGTTTTGCCCATAGAGCAGCCCCCCATTCACACACCGTCCGTCTAGTACCAAGGCATCTCAGCGTTTTTGAAGGCCTCCTTCATTGTTGCCCCGACACACTCTACCAATTTCTTTGCGTATTTGGACTTGCCGATTTTGTCGTAGGCTGATGCAAGCTGTAATTGAACACTGTGGAATATTAGATTGTTTTTTTTTTCGACCGCTGGTGGACAGACCTCTACGAGAAGCTTGAGCAGACCAATTGCCTCTTCAGGGTGTCCATGAGCCATCCATGCTTTTGCCAGTTGGAGCTGTGACTTGAGACGCATTTCGTGGGTTTCTGGCAGGGTGTTCCTCTGCGGATTTACCAGGTCTTGTACGGCGCAAGACATTTTCTAACTTGGCTGTCTGAAATGACTATCTTTTCAAGTTGTTTCGTACGAAGCACATAGTCACCTAGTATTTCCATTGTATTCTCGTCGACTCTAGCTAGTTGGCTAGCTACGTCAGGTTTTCAAGGATAGCAATCGCCTCTTGGTGCTGCCCGGTTCAGCTGTACCTGATATCCCGAGCTCGCTCTGTATCCGAAGTCTCTTCTGGTCATCCTGGGGCGAGATTTCTTTTTCAAACCCCATCACCTGCTGAGTTCCTAGTAACAGCTGTTTCCCAGCGCTGATCCCTGCGTAAGCATGGTGCGACGAAATAGTTCCAGACGGGCTTCCAGGTCGTGTTTTGTCTCCCGTGTACCAAGCGGGAGCGCATGTGGGAGGCATGCCTGCCACAAGTCCTGCTTTTGGACACGCCCGTTGGGGAATATTGGGAGCACTCGGTTGATGTGGCAGATGGTCTCTTGCGTCTGCTCTTCGTTGAAGAGTTGTTTCGAGCAGGACCTGAGGGCAAGATGCACCAAGCTACGCATGTCCAGAACCTTGCCACCCTCTCGCCGACGCAGGAAGTTGTAGGAGCAGAGTAAATTTATTGCCTCTGCTTTCTTGAGCCCTCGTTCAAGAGGGAGAATAGAGGTAGGTATCTCCTTTGGACTTGTCCACCGTAGAAAAGAGAGCAGCTGGGCAGCGGCGGCACTTGTATTGCGAGTTGCAGCAAACGACGCACACCAAGTTGTCAATATGGCCCCCTGGCTCCTGCTGTGGAATGTTTCATTGTGCAGTTGTCAGCCAAGCAGGTGAATCAGGCTGGTGTTGTCATGGTCCTGCTCCATCTCATGGTGACGTAAATGCTCGCTGATGGACATGCAGTTTGCATTCATTTAACTAACCGCCTGGGCCATCGCGAGAGGGAGATGCTCGAGTTTCTCCATAAGAGAAGAGAGAGTTTTATCGACGTCACCTTTTTGTAGCTCGTGGTTCTCGCTGAGAGACGTCTCCAGATGGCGTTTTCCCTCGCCGAACGACATTTCTTTTAATTTGACAACATTCTGCGGGTCCGCAATGCTGTTCGCGACTGTTGACGTGCGGGTGGTGACGAGTATTCTACCGTTTTGGGCTCTTGGGGAGGGAGCTGAGCAGGCAGCGAGGCTCATCGGGTGTTCCGTCAACTACAGACATGTCGTCGGCACTGTTGAATGTTGTCGATGGTGTTTCCACGTCCCGCAAAGCACAAATTCTTTGAGTAGGACAAGCTGCACACTGCAATGGGAAACAGGTCAATACATGCTCTACCTACTCCCTTTGGCAATTCACAAGCCAAAACGCACCTCTTTTGGGTCTTTCCGGGGGTCCTATCTGAAGAAGTATCTCCTTGGCATAGGCAGCTGCCATTGCTGCTGCGTAGGGCCGCCAGGCTTCTTTCGTCTCTTCGTCCGCGTAATCACAAACGCCACGAACGACACCAACCGGGATCTTGGGTACTACACCGGCTGCTGCTGTCTCAATACCGAGAAGATTATGCTTATCCCTCAGCTCATCCCTCTTCGAAGCATTCTCTATCAGTGAGCTGACTGAGCCAATCGTACCATACCATACGCGGGTACGCTTCCCAGGTTTTCGAGACTTTCTCTCCACCATGGACCGGTCAGTTTTGTATAACAAGTGCCGTTCTTGGCCCGGATCGTCGAACGCCTCGGGGCGGCTAGTTTGGCCATCATCTCCTGGTAGTGCTTCAGGAACGAAGGCTGGTCTTGAAAGAAATCTCCTGCTTTGATCTGGGTAATTGCCGACCTGACGAGCATGTGAGTCGTATCCATCCAGCCTCCGCGGCGGAGCACAAATCCGTTTTCAGTCCATTTGCCCAATTCCAGGTTGATTAGCCCTGAGACTTTGCCGTCTTGTAGGGCCACAAGCACATCGCCAAGTCGGATATCCCTCTCCTGATCACCGCCGAGTTTGGGCATGCCAGCAGCAACTCCAACTAGGAGGCCGAACCAGAGGTTAGGGAAAAACGTCTTGACTGTCTTGAAAGAGCGGCAGCAGAGCCCAAATCACAGTCCTCGCCTGCTGGTAGCGTGGCAATAATGACATTGTGCCCGCCCATCTCCCCTGGTGTGTACAGATTCTCGTAGCCTCTTGCTGTGGGAAATCGGCCACGGTGCCTATTGTCAAGCATCAGAGTTACTGCAATGATTGAAATGCGATAGTCTTCTGGGTTTAGCGGCCGAGTCGCTCTCATTGTGATTCTTTTAGGCACGCCGTTATTTGACGGTAAATAGGCGGCAAAACTTTACCAGGAGAGTGACAAAAAGTAGCTTTATATGGAATAAGGCTACGGAGTAGTGGAAAGTAAGAAGCCATTCTTCTTCACCTGAGCGGCCGTCATTTATCCATTTCCGCTGCTGCAACTAGGAAGACGGTGTGTACGAGTGAGGCTTTTGCAGCGAACCAGCCGTCTCACCCTCCCTGCTAGACGCTGTACTCTCCAGTTTGACCGTCAATTGCTCGATTTGCTGACGCGGAAAGCAATTTTGTAACCTGGTCGGCCTCCTGCGGTCCATATGTGACGAGTCTATTATTGGACTGGGGTGCTCCGTCTGTACATGCACCAAGGGAGCTCGGTGCTCTGCTATCAAGCTTTTATTGTAGCACAGTTTCTCCCGTTGGTAAATCGTATCCAAAAAACTTGATCTCATCATGAAAACCCATCCTTGACCTGGTAGACACAAGGCTACTCCAGCGTCAGCCAGCATGTCCCACATCAGCCGCATGACGGAGTACCTTTTTCACGCAGACGGCCAAAGAGCCCTGTTAGGAAGCTCTAGTGAAGATCCTACATTCAACTGAGAGCCAGTCGTCTCCTCCTGTGCAACATGTTGCCGCTCCGACAAAAGATCCAGCGAGGCCTGGCTTTCTCGGCCGGCCATGGGATAAAAGCCACCTGCTCCAAGGACTCCATCCCACGGTTATTGAGTGGACTTGTTGTTCCGCAGGCTGCCTTTTCATACGGCCCGATGTTTTTGTCCCCAAGAGAGCTGTTGTGTTTGCTTGTCATAACTTCGCTACCCCAGCCTGATGACTTCACGCCAACCTAAAAGCAACCTGCTCCCTTGTTTGAAGACGATACGAGCCATGGAGTTCGTAAGCAAGCCTGCTGCACGCATTGCTGGTGCAGAATATTAGAGTTTCGCGCAATTTGTTTGCACATGATAAGGAACAAGGGCCGGCCTGCCGCCTGTCGATGCTGCCCGCATGAGAACGGGGCTCAGATGCACAGAGGCTGAAAGAGATGAGAGTGGAGGAAACTATAGCCTCATCTCGGCAAAGGTAGCACAAGCATCCCGTGCAGATGAGCGCGCGGGATTTGGTACTTTGCTACATTTACACCTTGTCAACGAGTCCACCTTGCATCTCCTCAGAGTGAGGCGAAATACATTACCAAAGAAAACAGTCTTCTGTCGGACCAAGAGGCGCTACATTGTATGTTCACAACGTGTTAACACTTTGGCATTACTATGTGTTTTGTCGCCGTATTAGCTTTGCTGCTGCGATATAATCCCTAACTAACTTGATGGCCAAAGCACTATAGTGTGCAACAAATGTTCTGGTATGATATATCCATGCCGAATAAGCGAAACCTAGTAAATAGCAAAAATAGTTTCTTAAAGACGATGTCAGCAATGTTTGTACAATGAGAGTGGTTCACGTCACTGGCCTCAACCCGTGCCATGGCGTTGAACGACGAGGGAGGCCTCAATCGATGGGAGCAGGGAGGCACTCGGGTCGACCGAACTAGCGATTAACGATGCTATTTAAGCGTGCAGTAACGGGTATATACTTCATAGTTGGTTGAATATCAGGTTTACTCCCTTCTTTCTCTCTTTTATGCCTTGTCTCTCTTAAAGCTGGAAAGTGTCGTCACAACCAGTCATCATCTTTGGAAATGAGTCCCTTTTACACCGGGTAGGATTTTTGGAGTTGGGAACCAGCCAATTTCGGTTATGGACATGTTGAAATTACCACTGATGCTCGCTTGGAGAGGCTTGTCGAAGATCCCTATGATCCTGATGTACGACGAGACTTGTTTCGCAAATTGAGCTCAATGATGGTTACCAGCGCCCAATGCGCACGCATTGTCGCTCCCAGCATTGCGGAACCCCAACTCGATGAGGTAAAATGGCACAGAAGCAGACGGACGCTTTGCACAGTTTGAGAGTTAAAGTTGAGCTTCGTAGATGGCGGTGTGGCTTTGGCGTTATGCACTTGTCAGAGTACGTTTGTCCTCACATCTACAGGTTCAAGTCGCGACTGTTGTACATGGAGTGGGCGCGTTGCCAAGTTGCATTGAGCTATTTCCGTGATGGCGATATTAAGCTTTTATGAAAAAAAGCTTAATATATAAGGTCCTTTTGTATTTCGCAGATGCAGATAACTTGACGCCCTCGTTTCGACTGAAAGTGCAGACGGAGAAACGTACCTTGGCCTCCGAGTTTTCGATAGAGACAGGCAACATCGACTACATTGCAAATCGAACCTAGCTGGTCCAAATGATAGTCAAGCTGGCTGAACAATCCTAGGGTTGTGTTTCACGGCGATATTTGCACGTGCCTTGGCGAGATATATGTTAAGTATTCTTTTGGCCTTCTTCATCGTCTATTTGGGGCTGAGAGCCTCGTCCTTAACAACACTCACAATCTACCTTGGGCTCAAAGCAGAGCCTTCTCTATAGTACCACCAGGGTCGTATTCGCTCAATCTGCAAAGACGTTTCCTTATTTCCCTTTGTCTCTTTTGTTACGTACTTGTTGATTGCTTAAATTTTTTCCTTGCAAGAAATGCCATATTCGTTCTTGGCCGCAGAGAGTCGACATGCCGACATACAACATCTTCAATCACATTGTATGCGCGGAATTCATGCCCAATATTCGCCGAGTCGAGACCGTTCATGTCTTTGAGAGAAAATCATGGCCCTGGTAGGCTGCAACAAAGCATTGGCCGATAACTTGTCAGCTACTTTCTTTCCGCCTGACCAGACAGCATTCAGGGTGTTTATGCCGAGCGTCATTATGGACGAGGTGTAATACTGACTGCCCGTAGCCGAGCTGTGGTGACGAGCACGTCTGACGTCTAAAGTGGCATCATGTCTAGCTAATAGTGAGACCAAGGGTTCTGGTCTTGCACCGAGCATATTTTAGAGTGCAAACTGACCAAGGACGATCTGTAAAGACTAACCTTTGAAGGAACTTGTTTAGGCATTGTGCTGTTGCAGACCAATGGCTTATAAATTGTATGCTAAACGGTTAATTTGGGCATGCTTTGCTGTTGAGAACTGAATCAAACGCGTATGGTAAGATGACCATCGTCCGGCACCCATACTCTGCGTAGATTTGGAAAGATGACCTGGTAGTTAGAATATCAGAGCTCAATAGTCGGCAAACACATGTACGTGCTTCATTTTGGTGAAGCCCAACTTCTCCCGAGCTGGCGTCACGATAATCAAGATTCTAGAGTAAAATTCTCTTATAGCCCGACATATTGGGCATGTGGGAAATCAGCACCAATTATCTCCTGCAAGCCCCATCCGGAGCTGCTCGTAAGTCTTGACAGAAACAAAAGAGGTTATTGTATTTGCCAGATGCTCAGCCTATTTCCGTATCCGGGTGCGAACCTCAATGACGCCAAGCAATCCCTCGTCGCAATCAAGAACCATCAAAACAGGCAGCAGCCGCAAGACCAAAATTAACCCCCACGTAACCAGTGCGCACATGAAACTCGCCAACTCGCCCGGTAAGATTGGTGATCGCCGACGAGTTGATTGCGGGGAAATCGTCACGCTCCCGCTCGGATCGGGAATGAACGCCACTCGCCCTCTTGCGGCTGACGTTTGAGGTAGAGTTATCCGGACCCTATTCGCCAGGGTATCCCAACTAGAACACGGCGTCTGCAGGCTCCAGGCGTGTTTGGTCGGATCAGATTGATCCCTCTGCCGGCAGATGAAATGTCATCAGATGCAATGCCGTCCCACAAATCGCTTCCTGCATCTGTATAAACACAATCGTATCGACGTGTCAAGGGGCCGTGAATACCACGCCATCTGACGCCAAGCTCCAAATCCCGAAAGACCTGCAACCCCCCTCGACAAGTTGGTCTACGACTTGCAAGTGAGGGAACCAACAAGGAAGCTCGTTGCGGTCATGCCCAATCCCCTCATCACCTGCCTCTGGTTCGACGGCAACGCCGCGGAAGCGGCGGAATACTACGTGTCCATCTTCCCCGATTCAAAAATCACAGCCAGGCAGGTCTATCCCCAAGGGGACAGCGAGCAGCACCGGTCCGCGGGCAGAGACCTCGCCGTCGAGTTTGAGCTCAACGGCCACAAGTTTGTCGGTCTCAACGGCGGGCCCAAGTTCAGGTTCAGCCCGGCCATTTCGTTTCAAATCATTTGCGATGATCAGGCTGAAATCGACTACTACTGGGATAAGTTGAAGGAGGGGGGCGATCCGGAAGCCCAGGTCTGCGCGTGGGTGGCGGACAAGTTTGGCGTCTCGTGGCAGGTTGTATATAAGAAGCTTCCCGACGTCTTGGCGGGCGAGGACAGGGCCAGGGCGAGCCGGGCCATGGCCAAGATGATGGGGATGAAGAAGCTGATTGTTGAAGAGTTGGAAAATGCGTAGGGTGCTAGTACGGGCCGTCGTTGGGTGCCGCCGATGCGTTGTAGTCGCGATTACGATGAATATTGCTGCATCGCTACTTTCGGGCTTCTTTGCCTTGTGATGAATCGTGATCGTTCTTGGTGAATACGTGCTCATTGTCGGCTTCGTATATGCCGCGTAGCCCCTGGTGTACAGACCGCATCTCTTGTACCCATCCTTTCTTCTGTACTTCTCCTGTCTGCATATTGGGATCACAATGGCAGTTGGCCTACCTGCCATAAAGTATATTCATCACAAGACCTCCCAACTTATATGAGTACGCCTCTCCATTGTATAGCTAGAAGCTTCCTCATATCTGGCTATCCTAGCGTTAGTTTTCCATGAATGCCTCGTCATGCTTCACAGCTTGTTTGGCGTGTGCCAGTTCTCAACATTGACCTCTACTTCTAATCATGTATCCAACTCTTTGTCTGTGCGTGCAAGTTGTTCCTGCTGGGGTACTTTTTCCCATGTCATGCTAAAATTATCACCTTCCGACTAGACGTCGTAGATGAAAGCAAGGTGTATATATTAGCAGAGCAAGTATATTCCAATATAAACATTTGCCGCAGCTTCCAGGCACTAGTCCTCTAGCCACGGGCAAAAAACTAGTGATACCTCCTACAAGACCAGTATTCTTACTAATGATTCAAAGTTAAGTTTAGTAGACAAACAAGAACGACCTGGTTTCCCGCCCTCTTTTCCCCCCTCCTGTTTTATTTACACGATGCACTTCTGCCATCCAATCCGTACTGCCAACGGAAATAATAAGCGGGGATAATTGCTTCGCAATTAGAGCATGTTCTTTCGATGCCAGGCACAATCGCAGGGAATCTTGCTTTACTCTCAACAAAGGTGTATACGGGACCTTGTTTTGATCAACTCGTAGCTACTAGAATAAGAGCAAGCGTTTCCCCCATTTCCATCCCTTCAAAAAGAAGAGTTATGGTCCGACTTTTTGACCTCCAAAGAGTTATCCCGCCAGTCTTTAAGTTACCGCCGCACATGGCAGCTGCAAGGGACCCAGTTCGGCTGCCCAAGCACTTGAAATGCTAATACTTGCTTTCGAATTTCGCAAGCCACCCAATGAACTAGCTTGGTCGACTTGGAACACCTAGGCCCGAGCCGGGGGTTGCTTGCCGGGTTCATCATTGCCGCTGCTTCGGGCCGGGGAAAATACCTCGAATATGCGTACATCCCAACAACCACGTATCCCCTGAGCAGCTCTACAACAAGGCATGTATCCAGTTGTAACATGCTATCCACGACACCGGAGCAAAATCAGTCAGTGGCAGATGAAATCCACCACCGGCGGACGCAAAAGGCCCGGTTCGCCTGAGCACTCCCCAGTCCCCGGATCCATCCGTCAACACGCTCCGACGACAAGATTCCTCTTGGATGTGCCCTCACATGCGTCAAGATGGTGCATCACCCCAAAAGCAGCCACGTCGGCAAATAGGCAGGCTGAACCGCCAGATACTGAAAGGAGCTCTATTTCATCCCATTACGCGGACAATGTAGTCTATCTCCTGCATCACATTCACATGCTTGAAGTGATTTTTCCCCAGCCACATTTACATCAAAACGCCTCCAATGCTTCTAGAAAAGCCGGGTATTTTGCATCCAAAATCCAGTGCCGTCTAATAAATCGGCCGCAATCCCATTACCAACGCCTTGGCTTCTAATAGCCATTCTCTCGCTCCCAGCCATGCAAAGATTAAAAAAAAAAAAAAAGGGACCTGAAAATACACTATTGTTGTTTCTCGGCTCCTGGATCGCAACGGCTCGTATCAGTCTTGCTTGTCCAGGGGATGCATGTCGCAGTGTAAAACAACAAAACAAACCCCGACTCTCTTGCTCCTTCTTTCCAAGTGTGAGAAACCACGCTTGCTATCCAACAAATCCCTTGGTACATCGTACAAGGCGAGTGAATGCTCGTCTTCGGAATCGCCGGGCCTGAAAAGATGACGGTGGTAGCAACTACGCCCATGGTGCAAGAATACCATCGGTACGCTGGCTCTATTTCGAGTCTTGATGTCGACGGGCCTGGTCCACTGAAGCGCCGAAACAAAGCAGATCCTTGGCCCATGGTAAAGCATATCTCGCCCGGGGGAGGAATTCTTGGGATCCCCATCTCCCCTGTCCCGCTGTTGGAAGGCAAAGTTGCACCGCGAGCAAGATTAGTAAGCTGGCTTGACAGCAATTTGCATATTCGTCGTCATGAGCACGCGCAATCCTGCCCTCTGCGTCGTAACTTCCATCCACCAAGTCCAACACGGGCCCGTGTCTTCGCCATCGGAGGGTCAGTGTCGTCGATAACATCTTCGTGGATGGATCACCACGTCTGCGTCGCGAGAGCCACCAGTCTCTTCCAATATACCGGTGGCAAAGCGGTTTGTTGTCAGTAGATTGTCACGCCCGTCAAGTAACCTACACACACGGCCTGGTGGGTGAGGCCGGTGAAAAGAGCTCCCACCAGATTCACTATGACGCCGTCCTCGGGGCCAAGGGGCATCTGGGAATGTCGCTGCTGCGTTTCAAAGTCTTGGAGGACTCGCTGGCCGTGTTTAAGAAGTCGTATAGCCGCAATGACTTCGCCTCGGATGATCTGTTTCCGATTAGTACGCAGGCTCCAGCTTACATGTCTCGCGGAGAAAAAACATGGGTGGGGGTGCCCTACCTCGATGATGACGAATACTACGCACGAAATGATGTGGGAGAGCGGGTGTTCTGGCGTTCGCTGGATATCCAAAGCGGCCTTGATGGCCATGTTGTGATGGTGCAGGGCATATATACCCAGGTTGTGCCTTTCCACGGCCAACTGGCCGTTGGCCGCGTCGACCGGGTGCATGAACAGGTCGTGATACGACGACAGGGAAATCAAAGCGTGCCATATTCCAGGCTCTGCATGCGCGATCCGGAGAATCTTGGTCGTCCACAGCTCGTCGATGAAAAACTCGGAAACCTGGGCTAGTGTGCGCTCCCTGAAGGACTGGACGGCTTGAAATTCATCCTGGGAGGACGGCGTTGGGTATGCCGACAGCGGCATCGCTGGGCTCGACGCTGCTTTAGTTGCGTATCCATCGCATTTGCGACCGGTTGAGGTACCTGTACGGCGAGGACTGTTAGTTTTCCTCTTTTTCGTCGAGCCTCTTTGCGTTCTTGTGTTGGATGGCACTTACATCGGCTGCAAAATGGCCGCGTTTCGTCACACTTTATTCTCCGCGCTGTATCGGCAATGTCAGCACATGTCCCAATTTGGATTCCCTACAGTACTTTCGTCCCTTTTCTGCGGACAATAGTTACTTGCGGGGAATAGCAGGAAACCAACTAACCCCTATGTGACCGTGTCAGCCTCACTTACATGATACAACAACATGTCAGGCTCTCACCAAAAGCAGCAAAAAAAAGAAAAAGAAAAAGAAAAAAAACGTGTACAAGAACAAGAATACAAGGACAATATCCCTTCATCGACTTACTTGCATGTTTGACATCCCGTTCTGACCTTGGGGGCCTTGGCTCGCTTCCTCAGGCCGGGTTTAACGCGCGTCATGGTGGTAAAGTCACAGATGAGACGTCACTGGTCGGAAACGACAGCAAATAGAAAAGCAAAAGTGCAGGCAGTTGGCAAGCGGTCCGTACGACAGGACGAACGACGATGTTGCTGGGAATGCAGCTGATCATATGCATCTCTCGAGACCGGCGGCTTGTTCAACATCCATCTGCCAGCAAGGCTGATGATATATGAGCCCATGGCGGCCTATACGATGAAACGAATCACATTTGCCGTGGCTCCACAGGCCCTCCACTATTTATCTGGTAGGCCCATGCCTGCTTCTCGCTAGCCGCTCTTTGTTTCACAAGATAGCACTTGGTTTGGCGTGTCCCTAATAGCCGGAAGCTGTCTCTAGATCTCGACAACTCCACCACGGCCCAGTAGCCGGGGGGTAGGGTTCCCTCTTTCTTTCCTTTGCCCTTGGCTCGTGCGGCCGGAACCACTGTGGGAAAGCCCAGATGGGCTGTAGAGATGGGTTTGCTTGGTGTTGCTGGGCTGCCTGGCCGCCCAGGTACATACGTGCGTGTCTGCTTTTGGAATTTTTGGGTTCCTCAGCCCTGGGCTAGCCAGGACACCACCGGCAGTTTGGGGGATCTTCCCTGGGGTTCGCGAGCAAGGGTTGGTTTTGGGGCCTGGATGGCTCGATGTGTGGGATGAAGACGTTGGCTCCGGTACCAGTTCCAAAGCCACATGCTTGCGACAGAGATGTAACGTGTTGGTACATGTGACGCGTGCGCCTGATTCGGATCCGAAGGAAAGGCCAGCCTATTCAGGAACTGACTCGCTCGTGGCATCGCTAACCGCCAGTCAACATGGTACATGGATCGATTTTCCAGAGAAGGGCCCTGTCAGTCGTTTATATACCACGTTTTTGGTTTGGCGCTGGTCTTTGCTTGGCTCTCTGCGAACGGGACGCCATCTCCAAGGTGACAAGGTCTAACCATCATCCAGATCCGACTGACGTACATCCACCGTCAAACTTCAGACGTCAAATCCATTGCCCCCTTGGCAGCATTGCGCCGGCGTCGCCTCAAGGTTTGCCTCGGTGTGTCGTCTAGATGGAAAACCGAGTCAAACACTCGCGCGCAACTTGACACGTGTGATCGGGTTGCATTCTTTCCATGGGAGGCCTACATCTCATCCCATCGGGAATTTTCCTTCTTCTTCATGCGCATCATGATGGCCTGGGAATAGCTTCATCCCGGCAGCGACTCCATCGTGAGCCATCCCGGCGCACGCTCCCCCAAAACAGCTAGAGAAGCACAAGTCCTCTCCGGATGGCGCTGCCGAGGAATCTGAGAGAAATCGCAGGCTCTCAGTCTCCCGTGCTCTTCGTCCCATGCATACGTGGCCCGGCTATGCCCAAACTGGCAGCCGCTAGTCAATCCATCTGTTCCCTTCCCTCCCTTCCCACAGCCCGATTACCACCCGTTTAGGGCCAAGCAGGCATCTGTAGTCATCTTCTTTTTTTAGTTTGAGAAGCTGTTGACAAGACGACGACGTTTAACGCCGGTGTTCCTCGGGCGCCGCGGCGCCGGACTTCAACCCACGGCCTGCCTATCCGGCCGTGATGACAAGAGAAATAGAGTGACTGAGTGAGGCTGAGGGCATCTCCTTTGCATGATTACTCTGGCCACGGCCGGCAAGTACCGCCAGGCTAATTATGGGTCGCAGCAAAGTTTATTCTGTGTCATGTGTTGCGACAGACTCGGTAATAGGTATGGGGGGGGGGCCCCTTATCTGGTTCCTACCGCCGCACTTGTTTCGTAGGGTCGTCGTACAGGGGGCGGCTAGGTATATTGCAATTTGATTTACCTGGATCAGACGTCCTAGCAAACTGGACGATTGCCATGCGACCCCGGGCTGGGCGAAGTGGTCTCGGCGCCTCGCTGCCTTCTTCGGGCGCGCCGCCGCTGACATCACGGTCCTCATGCCATTAAGCAACGGGCTTTCATGCCCTCGTGTGCTGGACATCTCTCTCGGTTTGCAACAAAAAGTCGGCCGTCTTCGCACCGCAAACGTGACCCAAATCGTGCAGAAGCGCTGCTGATGCCTACCTTGGCGGTCCCATCGGACCAGGGGCAGTCCTGGCACCTACGCGTACCGACCCCCCGACGGGGATACTCAATGGCATTGTTCCTACTCGCCCGGCCTGGTGAGCTGAGTGTATTCGGCATGGAAGTCGGAATCAACCATGCCGCATTTCCAGCGAGAGCTCGCCTGCCATGGCTGTGCTCCCTTCCTAACCCCGAGACAACTCCGTGCGTATTCATGACTGCTTACTATCTGTTCGATTTCATGGTTGATTACGGGGTTTTTGATATATTCGGCTTGTAGTGGTAATGTCGCGGACATGGCGTCAGGATGGTTGCTATATTTTGCGTATGGACAAGCTCTCCCAAGTCGCGTGAAGCGCCCAGACACGAACTCGCGACGAGCCTTTCACAAACGTTGGTTTATTATTAAGTTGATTTTAAAAATTAAGAAGAAAAAAAAGAAAAAAAAAAAAAGAAGAAGATGAAGAAGAAGGGCTGGATGCAGGACATCTAGCATCACTGTATTTTGGCCGTACCTAGGCCAGGGAACCGTAACTAGCCACGCAGTACACCATGGACGCCTCGCGATGCGTCAGACACACTAGCCGTTACCTTTTTATAGTATACAAACGGTATAAGATGGATATTATAGCTATGGTGGCACCACCTCGGCTAATTCTATCGAAGCTGCTTTCCGTCGGATAATTGAAGCCAGCCTCGTTGCTCTTCATGTAAGTCGGGCTGGGGCTGTATGACGGCATCTCCATTCCGCAAAAGTCTCGCCACAGTGCTGACTGACGCAAGCTTCATCCGGCACTTGTCGCGGCACGCCGGCACACACCACGCCTACTGCAGATGTCATTGAGGGTTTGAACTTTGAAATCCTGCTGGAGCCGTGGACTTGGACCTTGATAACGCTGCTTCCTTGCCAGACCTTGACGATCAAGATGCCGACACAAGGCCCTGATGAAGACATTCAGAGGCCAGTATAAATCTGGTGACAGCCTCTGAAATGCCGGCCGTTTGTGGACATGATGATAACTCCCGGAGCTTGATGAGCTTGATACCACCACCCCGTAGTCCAACTTGCGGCCCGCGGTGGACGTGAGCTCTGACCAACATGCCCGGTGGCAAGGCGTCAATAGCCGGTGCGACTTCAGACTCGGTTTCCAACCCAAACGCTGTCAAGGTACAACGGAGGCCTCTTCATGGTAGAGCCCTTTCAACCCATGGAATAACCTCGTCGGTCAGCCCGAGTTTATCAAACAATGGCAAGGCGGTCCAAGCACCGGCACGGCCTGCTCTACACGTGAAATTAGATTCAAACACGACGTCTCCTGTGCGCACAGCAGCGGCGTACAAGGAAACATGCCTCTTGGCAACCCTCCTGACCAGCTTCTCCTTCCCCTGGCATGACGTACTCTCGATAACTGATGTCGAACGAGTTTCCGCCCCTCGTCAGCAGACGGCAGAAGAAGCTTCTCTCTGCCAAAGACAAAAAAAAGCTTTGATTTTTTTTTTCACATCTTTTACGTAACTCGTGATAAATATTGTACGCCTGCGCATGGATGCTAATACTGAGCTCAGAACTGAGTCCTACGACTATAGCTCGCGTCACCTGCTAATAACTTGGGCAGATAGAGAGCACTGACATGCCCGGTGAGCCCGCCGCAAAATGACGTTGGGCGTAATCATGACGGGTTTTTATCCTGATGAAAATGTCAAGCGGCGCGGCGCCGTCGGAACCGCTGCCGAGCTCGTCGGTGCTGCAGGAATAGATTCAACGTGACGAAGAGATGATGGCGAGCCTGCACTATCAGGAGAGTTCCGCTTTTTGCTAGTCAATTGTAGCTGGCATGCGCTATGATGTCAATAGATAAACGTTGACATGTGATATTCCTCATTGATGGTGTCCCGCCAGCTAGCTCCGGCGCACAACCCCGACGAGGTGTTGAGGCGTCTCCAAGCAAGTCGATTTCAGACATGTGATGAAGCACACATAGTCCATGGACGCACGTGAGGCGCTGCAAGTCAGCAATATACCACTTCGTCCGGTTGGCCGGTTGTCTTGTCATGTGACGCTCCATGTCCCGGGCCCGGCTTGTCGCTGTTGCCCCGTCCTGCGACCGCAGCATGGGTATCCCAGCTTGGACGAATCTACACCGACGGCGCGATCCCAGGCGTGATGCGATACAGCCGGGCGAAATGGTGACTTCGCAGCCGGTCAGTTTCTTTCGGCATTCGGCATTCGGTCTGGTGGGAGCTTGTGACGGGCGCACCACCGTTTCAGACGCTTTGGGTCTGCGGTTTCCGAGGCACGTGGCCCCGCGACCATGGCTTTCTGGCGGCGAGATTGTCGAGCGATACGAGAAGAGCGCCCGTCGAAATTGTGGAAATGGCCGTAGCGCACGTCACTGGCCTGTCAAGGTGCGGCCGTCCCTTGTCGAGATGGAGTTG